AGCCCCTTATTACAGGCAATTAATTTGAGGATTTCCTCAGTCTAAGAGCTGACATCGTTGCCAGTTGCTTATAGAACAAGTCTGTTGGCAGTAAGTGTAAAATGACGTTTAGTGCCTGGCTTGGCGTGGTTATAAGAGCTCCAATGCATAATTTTGGGATTTCTGTGTCTCCTAGGGAACAATACTAGTTCTGTATTGCCATCATTTAAGTTTCGACCTCACGAAACGGTGCATCGATTAATGTCATTTAAAATTCTTTGCATAAAGTTTACGAGGGTATTTGAGAATTTACCTCTAACTGAAACCGCCACCTCATCAGCGTAGGCCACAACATGTACCCCCTTCTTTTGTTAGATCAAACTACATTTTAATCATGTTATGTTATTTAAGGCGCCTTCTATGTTTAGGAAGGTTACGAGGGTGTATGAATTCTTTTATTTTCATAGATTTTTCAATCACTGCAACCACTGAGCTTAGTGCTGTTTCAGTGAATTTTCCTTTAAAATATGCATGATGCGAAACTTCCAGTTAGTTTCCAGGGCTTAATTTTTTTCTTATGTGTATTTCTATTGGTCTTTCCAACGTTTTTTTTTATCAGAAATGAGGAAATACTAATTGGTCCGAAGTTCTCTTCACTGAATACCGTCCAGCTCCTAAGCCGAAATGCTTCTGCCGATATAATTACAAAAATATTTCCAAGAGTTTCTTTTTGCTCTTCTTATATCTTTTTTGAATGACTTTAGGTTGTTATAACTATTCGAATCCTCTTCATCTTGGGATAGTTTAGCTACATTAAATTTCTTACTGCAATCCTTCTGTAATTTTTTTTCAGTTCGAGAGACCGTAATGGTGGTCGAATTCTTCCCTTACTTCGTGTTATTGGACAAGCCACCTCTAATATTTGTTAGCAAGATACCGTGAACATTTGAACGAGGTCTCCTTGTTCTTGGGATGAAATGGTTCTTGGAATCACAGGAAAATGTTTTTTTGGCTCTTGCATGTGCATCTGACAGTTCGTTTTCCTGTGATTCCTGAAATTGTCCACACTTTCCTCACTTATGCATTCAATGTATCGGTGATCGGAAAGGAGTGGTATTCAAAAGCTCTCCATTGGGTCACCATATTTAACAGTTCTTCCTACACAAGTATGATACCTAATAACTTTTGTCGATTTCTTGTGAAAAACGTTGGCATACTACCTTTGCTGCACAACAGAAGCTTAGTGTCTAGTACTTAAAGGAACACTCACCTCTATCATTGATATCTGTGCTGCCCCATATCGTGTGGTGTGCGTCACATGCAACTATAATCATGCACTTGGATGCCTCGCTGTCCCGTACCAGCTTTTTAGCAGCTGCCATGGTACTTGTTCCTCGTCGTATGGCATATAGTAGCTAGACACCAGCTGGTATCTACTTGCACCCGTCTTCCAGCTTGTTGTGGTATCTTTATTGCTATAAAAATGTAACATAAGGATCAACATTGTGGCCGTCTTGGTCTCCAGACCCTTCCTCTGGTCTGGACAGGATGTCTTATTTGTGAACCGCTACACGCACTTCCAATGGGCTCTGAGAATTTTGCCTTTGGGATTACCCTCATCTAGTACGCCAATAATAATGCGATTCCGGGCCATATCAGCAAATGATTTAGCATGTGTCACACCCTTAGCTTGTCAGCTGCCACTGCTGTCGGTTCAAGCTTAAAGTTAGGTAGAACTGCCTCCGCGCAATCAATGTAGTCTTGGATTTCTTTGTGAGCTCTCCATTGGTTGGCGGTTGTAGCTGTACCCTTATGACTAGGTAGGCAGCGCCTCTCCGAGTACCTGACTTCCGCGGGGCTCTCTTCTCAGAAAAAGTAGTTCCCTCCGTTTTTTTTTCAGGAGATCCGGTCAACAAATGTAGGAACACTTTAAGCTCACTGGCAGGTCAACTTCACTTGTCTAGAATTTGGGTTCCCGGTCAAAAAACGTTTCGTTGCCAAAAGAGCACACGAGTTGGACAAGTCAGGAGCCTGTTAAGACAAGTCTGAGGCGGAGACAATACAGAGTCCTCTAGGAACGATCAAGATGGAGCTAAATACGCAATGTGAACAAATAGCTCAGAATAGATAAAAATCTACAACCAAATGCAAGATAGTGAACACATATGACCAAAATGTGGCAAGACAGGAACTATGGACTTATTGAATATGTAAGTCCTGGAATATGTATATTTATATATATAACATGGACTTTCAGTTATCATAACCGGGCGTTGGCCATTTGAAGAACTCGCGTTAAAAATGGGAATGCTTCATAACAATATTTGATATATATTTGCCCATGTCTCTATTACAATCAGGATGTAGAACTATTGGAAGCCATCATACCTCATGAACAAAACCTTGAATGTCTATCTACAAAAGCATAACGGGGATCAATAGTTTATTGAAAGCACACAACTATGAAAACAGATAGCACTATTTAAATTTCTTACGAATATAGTACCAAAATGGCGCATCTAGCGCTAATAGCGCCTGAAGGGGTTGCATTTATATCTACCTACCTACCTTAGCCATTTGATGATCAAGTCTGGAAACCCATATTTTTATTGATCGATGTTGCTGGCATATTCAAGGAGAAAGGTATCAATACCATGAAACTATATTCACCAAAAATTGTCTTTCCTTTTCAGAAGCCTTTTGAAATGGCTTTATCTATGATTCGCTTTTTCTTTGCTCGACAAGAGATGTCAAACAAAATTACATATAAAAGCAACCACTAAATTATCGAGTTGAATTCGTACAACAGAGTATACGGATACCTCATTAAAGAGGTACAGCCACTATCTTCAGTGCTATTCAGTTTTGTTACGCATATTTTAGATCCGTTTAGTTCAAATGACAAATGAAATCTTGTATTTTTAAAACTCAAGACTTAAAATCAATTACAGTAATTTATAGAAAACAAAAATATATGATTTCAACGTTTTTTAACGAAAAAATAATTTATCCACTTAGTAAGAGCCATAACACTATTGCACGTGTGTGAGAAGACATGTTAGCTCAGGGTTGCACCACAAGTGCTGCCGGTTTGTTTGAGCATCTGGTATAGCTTTATTAATTTGAATGATATATGTTAGCTGTCTTTTTGGAAAAAAGGGCGGCTTTTTTTTTAAATACATTCGGAGAGTTCCAAAATATGAGGGTACAGTTACTAGCATGTCTACCTTATGAACAACCAACCCTTCATTGGCATATTTAACTTATTGAAAAAAAGTTCTGGCATCACTGTCGTCCAACGTGACGTCTACCGATAAGCCTATTTTATCAGTAGCTTAATTATTGACTGGAAAACCAACGTAAATGTTAATTGGGTATGTTAACATGCATATTTACGTGTGTCCATTCTTGAGTGGAAAACCAACGTAAATGTTAATTGGGTATGTTAACATACATATTTACGTGTGTCCATTTGTGTGTGTGCATTCATATCCATTATTTACTGTGCTATTATCTGCGCTATTTACTTTTAGTTAGATATGACAACTCGTGTGTACATTCGTATATGCCCTATAGAGAGATGAATTAATTTGGTCCTGCGAATTGAAAATAATCTTTAACGAAAGAGTAAACCAGGTATAAAGGGATGTCCAACGCTTTCTAGTGTGAGAGCATTTCAAAATAAGTGTTTTTTATAACATTTTGCATTGTAGCTAGATCAGACAAAATAATAATTTTTGATTATTTAAATTAAAACACCCAACATTTATTTAATTAATTAAAAATAATTATATATTGTCAGTCCAATATATGGAGAAACTATTTAGATCTTTTTTTGTGATTTTATGATATATTGAAACAACTGATTTTTGAACTATCAACATTTAGCAAAGTGAGCTCTTAATTAATACATATTTTTTATCACTTTCAACTTAAAATTAATACTACGAAGCATCACAAAAGATTGCAACATACATATTTAAATATTGCGTTTTCTTTACTTTTCATTGATTTACATTTGTTATTAGTGATCTTGAACGGCGCCAACAAATTTCTCCATTCATATATATTATGGGTAGGATTTCAATCTGGCCGTACCAGTCGTTCCAATTGCTAAACGTCCAACCTACCCGTTCCAATCAACTATTGAAGTCGTGCAGGTGATTTACGCTCTCAATTTCAAGTAACAAAAGGGTTAGGCATCTCTTTATTTCTGGAGTAAACATATATAAGTTAACAAACATACATAAGTAATATATTCAACCCTCTCAAAGCGAAGGTCAGAGATAAAGAGGTGCCCAACACTCTTGTTCCTTGAAATTCTGTCACTTGAAATGAAATGAATTGGGCATCCCTTTATCCCTGGTCAAGGTACTCAGTACTAGATATATGCTTGGCTATTCCTGCAGGGTATGTTTTTGTCAGCATATATTTTGAATGATAGCAGTTAAGCATTCTCATGTTTTCACGAGCAAATGTCAGACTCGTTCTTAATAGTTCAAACAGTCACCGACGCAAAACCGTGGACCGAATCAGCTAATACGACCTATCTTATAAGAGCGCAATGTAAATGAACACTCAGCACCGCTTCTACTATATGGTAAGATATCCGGAGAAACGAGTGAGCTGAGAAAGAGAGAACAATCTCTTGTAACGCGGCGTTGCCTTTCTCAATATTTTGTAGTAATGAAAAAATAAACTTGAATATATATGAAATATTCTGAAAATAACTCAAAGTCACAGTCGAATACGTCTATTTACAAATACATTATGAAAAATTACAAGTAAAGAACTAAATGTGTGAAAAGTTGCGTATACAAATAGAACAGTGGCAACATTGGTGAAATGAAAACAAAAGTGAACAACAGAGTTCTGCGTTGCAACTACGGGCATAACTTTTGACAAATTTGGTTGAATACAGCGGTAAGTACGGAAGGGAGGAATGTCGGTGACTGTTTGAAGCATAAGTTTGAACTATACATACATATATGATAGTATTTGTTTGTACGCCATAACCAAGCGTACATAAGTTCTAAGTGCATGTGAATGAATGATTAAGATTCGTTCGTTTTTATTTATTATGTTGAACACTGAACTATAACAAATTACAGCCCAAACTTAACCAAGTAAACAGCCCATGAATAAGCCATTTATGTAAGGTATATTGTAGTAATGCAACCCAAGGAATATATCAAAAATGTTGTAGACAACAACAATAAAATACAAAGTCAAATGACCAATAAGGAATATTATTATTTTAACAAAATCCACAATAAGACAAGCATGCCACATTCAGTCAGTTAGTTAACCAAACCGTCAACGATCGTAAGAAGTGAATGTGCCCAGCTGTATTGGTGTGGTGTGTATTACACAGATTAATTATGTAGTTCATCAGTCACTCGGTATGTGTAACGGTACGAACAGTAAAGTGTCAGTACGCATTTCTAGATTGATCAAGTTTCGACAATTATCATTCAAATTGATAAAGATACGAAGATAGTTGCATATATATACATAAATGTCAATATATGCATGCGTTGCGAAGACGTTAAGGCATAGGAGAATGTGAATAAAAATACCTACAGAAAAAATGTGTTATCATTATTAATAATATGCATATCAAAATAAAAAATGTTAAAGCAACAACCGATATCGCATTATAAAACAACAAAGGTTCACAGAAACTTGGAAAAATAATATATTCTAATATAGTTCTAAACTCAAATGCTTGTGCATGCATTACGAGAAATGCTTCGGTAATTTGAAGTATGTAACCCCACCATACACTACAATTAGGAAGGCAGTATACTTAACGCCTTGATATACATATCTACAAGTATATCTGCATTTTGAAGACCGATTTATCTTTAAAGCGTGATCTACTTCACCTAGTCAATCTCCAACGATCAGATATCTAACATAATGAAACTTTATCAGAATATGAAATCATTCTTTAATAAGCTGGTATTTAAATACTGACTTCCAGAATATAAGAAATATGTCCTAATTTTATTTTATACGTATTGTAATGAATGCGATTTTGTTGCAAGTATGCTTTATTTGGAAGGGAAAGCCTGAATGTGTGATTGGTTGTTTTCTATAAAAAAGGAATATATCTTATATATACAAATTTTCCTTAATGCTGTTGAAGCCACTCTTAAATTCAACTATGTGAAAAGTGTTTCATTCACTAGAACATCTTCCTGAGAAATTGTGTTCCAATTTCAAATAATAAGCAATCTTTTCATCAATGCAATCAAAATAACATGACCAGTTTGTACAATTCGGTTTGATATTATTGATATGTTATGAATTCATATAATACTTTCTTATTTTTATACCTTGCACAGGGTATATTAAGCAATAGTAGCGTGCCGAACTGAGTCGATTTAGCCATCAACATCTGTTTGTAGTGAACTAGTTCCTCAGTTTTTTAGGTCTTGTATTGAAATTGTTTTCACGTCGATATCTGGCCACTAAAGCATATAGCTGTTATACAAACTGATCGATAAAAATCAAGTTCTTGTATACAAAACGTTTTTATTTGACAAAGTGTTTTCACGAAATTTGGCAAATATTATTACCCTGGCAACGCTGACTTTCCAACACATTTTCAGGCACAAAGAATGAGCTAAACAGAAAATTAAACTAAGTAGAACTGATCTGAAATTATCCATACATCTTTCAGTATTTAAATTTTCAGATCCAAAATTTTAATGCGTTTACCGATTGTTGATTACAGATACGGTTCTACATCTACTAATGAATGAGTACAAGCGATATGAAATGACCTTCGATTTCGAACTTGTTACGCAAACTGTCTGCCATGTCAAATTTACAATCGGAAAAAAATTTTTCAGGCACGACAGCCTTTTCCGATTACATATAAATTTGATTTGGGTTATTTTCTGACATTTCAATTCAATTTCAATATTATTTTCTTAAATACTCGTTAGTTTTTTTAGTTAGTTCAATTTTATTATGATAATAGCAAACCTTATTATAACGTAGAAAACAAAATTAATTGAATTAGAGACTACTCCAAGATTCTACCGTTACTTATTTGGTTGCCGCGAGCGAAACATTAAAACGAAATATATTAAAGAATGTACGTTTGTATTTACATATGCATATAAAACTATAAGTGAACAAGTAAGAAAGGGGGTTACCGAACATTTTATACTCTTGCAACTTGCAAGAATCAAATCAGGAGAAAAACCTGGAAGTGTGGCAAAACTTTAGATTAAATAAGTAAGGAAGGGCTAAGTTTAGGTGTAACCGAACATTTCCTACTCTTACAACTTGCAAGGATCGAAGCTTTCGGTGTTGGCAAAGCTCTATATCAAACAATTAAAGAAGAGCTAAGTTCGGGGGTATCTGAACATTTTATACTCATACAATATCAATATCAAAAACGATTATATTATATTAGGAATATGAGGTTTGGGCCAAGATATAAACAAATTCCATTCATATTCACCGCTAAATCACAAAATTTTTAAGAAAGCTTGTGAACTTAAATTTATTTAAATATCACACATTTTGATCAACCTAAATGGTTTAAAGACACGTGGGAGGTTGAAAATATTATATAGGGTATATTAGGGGCTGCAAATATCTGGGCCGATTTCACCAACTTTTGACATTGCTTAGGTATACTCGACAGCTTAGTTTCAAACATGCTGACCCGGCAAACGTTGTTTTGCCATACAGGTTATTTTTTGGAAATATTTTTAAAAACACTAACACTATAGTAAGTGTGGGGAGGATGTAATTATAATTGAAAGAGGAATGAATAATTGTAGCCAATTAAAGTATACTTTATTCAAGCTAAGAAATTATTCTTTAATAAAGTAACAAATATATTTTAAATTACAATTATAGTTAGCTGTCTAAACATCCATCAGCGCAATGGAGTATACAATATTTTTTGTCAGTCTGTCTTTAGCCCACGCGGGAATATGCAACATAAAGTTGTCCGTGGGAAAAACTCGGTATATCCAAATCTAAGCCACAAACAGACAACGTTTGGCCTTGCGACTTATTCATTAATTTTTTAATTACTGATCTTGTGCCATTGTAAGGCCGTAGTGGGATGAAATTATGAAGCAAAATAACCGGAGATCCAACTCATTCCCAACATATCTAATGAATTCGGAAAGTCAATTGAATAATTCACAGTTTCCTTGGCGTCGATAGATTTGTATGATACCAAGTCCCGTGGCAACATTTTTTGTTGCCAAAAACGCACTTTTTGCCAGCCATCTAATAGTTTTATATTTTGTGTTTACACTGGGAAATATATTGTCGATGAGAGTATCTTGTGAGTTGATGATGGTGCAGAAATCAGTCGGTAATTTTATGCATCCAGTATTTCTACGTACAGCAACTATTCGTTTTGTTTCTATTGCCTATTCTCAACAGTTGTTTTGAGAAAGTTTCGACAGATGAATCTTGAAGCATACGAATGTGTATGTTCACTGTGAGTTGCACTTTTTCAACATTACGCCACAGTCGCGATGATTTTAAGCAAGCATTGATATCATCAGCATACGCTGAACGTGTTGGAAATAATCTGAAAGGAGTAACAAAGTGCAGTCGTAAGTTATTTTTTTTGGTCATCATTTAGTAGTGGAAGGTGCGAGTAACAATCGGTGCCAAATCGACAGTAGCATACTTCGCTTCACTATTTATATCTGTGTTGATTAAATCAGATGCACTCCGATTTGGTGAACTTATACCGATGTCGATACAATGATTATCCCACAAGATTTGTGCTGGGATCGGAAAACATGTCATCACTACTAAACAGTAGACACATTTGTGTTGCTGTGCAATTTAGTTCAGCTTGAAATGACAGTGGTCCGGTAACATTAACAAACAACAGTCCCAGATAAAGGCACTCAGTCTGCCTTGGATTGACTATATATACACGAAACAATTATTATAGCACGATTTCGTTCGTGAAAAATACGCGTTAGCCGTTTTCGAGATGCAGAAATAAATGAATAACTGCTGAATGTTGTTTATGTATTTGGAAACCAAAGATACGCCAGGCAACTTTATTGGAGCTTATAAACCGGCCAATTTGGTAATTCGTTATTTCATAATTTTCATTAATTGGACGAGTATCTACAATTCTAAATTTGCTTCCTTTATTCACATACTTGCAAATATATTTGAAGCTTTTCATCGAATTCCAGAACTAAACATTAATATCGTATAAACATTGAATGTTTTACTCAGCTGAGGTCAATATGGTACCAACTAACGATTGTCAATGTCTGCGATATCGATATTTTTAGCACTGAAAAATAATGTTAAATTCACTATAAGAATAATATTTGCTTGAGAGTTGCACTGAAAAATTAAAATGATACGTATTGGAGTCACTGCTACGATCAAGACACAAATAAGATCAAATTAACAACATGGACAAACACTGTATAGAGAGGGCTTTCATCCCTACTCCGTAATGTTTGCTGGTTTAGAAGTGACAACGGGAGACACCTGGCGGGGATAACTGATGGATTGATAAAACAATTATTATATTCGATTGCCATCTTGTGGATCTGTGGATGGAACGGCATAACATAAAAATTGCGATATAAAATCAGGGGTTAATCGAATAAGGGTGAAAATTAAAAAATCGTATGTATTTTTAAATGCAGAATCATATAAAATAAAAACAAAAAATGTTGTCCAAAAAAGATAATTATAATATTTTTTGTTGTGGACCAGGTAGGGGTATAAAAAAAATGTATATAATAGATAAACATATATGTATATGGAGTAAAGTCAGCCGGGTGTTTCAAAATCGTGAATATCAGTTATATGGGGGCTGAAAAAAGTTTTCGCCCGATTTTATCCATGTTAGGCATACCGACGTATCGTTATTAAAAAAACACGCTCTCTTAATTTTATAAAGATAACTCACATATTGATCGATATTTGCGGTAGTCAGCCGGAAGATCGAACATTTTTCTATTAGGTATATAGGGACTAAGGAAATTATTGTGCCGATTCAACCCATTTTTGGCAAACGGGAAAATTATTATCAGATAAGGATTCTCTATAAGTTTCTAAAATATATCTCACAGATTTACCAATATATTCGATAAAAAGTTTGCAATGGGAACAGGGGCACATAAATTCGGCTTGAATAGTTTTCGTCCGATTTGAATAATTTTTTGTCATAAACTGGCACACTTCAAAGGCTGAGAATCAGATGGAATTTAAAATTGTGTTATATATATATGAGAAGTAGGCGTGGTTGTTTGTTGGTTTTCACACTGCAACATAGGAATGTCAAAATGATGCTATCACAGAATTTGGTTGAAATCAGTTGAGCAGGTTCCGAGGTATGGGTTTTCAACATAATGAGGGCGATGCCAGGCCTATC